TCTTCATTTTTATTATGCAAGTAATGTATGTTCATTGTGACAAAATCAGAAAATATCCCCCAAAAGGAAAAATAATACGATATTCATAATCGCATCACCCAGAGGAAATCACAGTTATTATTGACTTTGTTTTTCTTCCTATTTTTTTCTAAAAGGATGTTTATATCATTAGTGATTTTGACCTCTTGTTTTTCTAAACATTACATAATCACATTTACATTTTCCCTGGTATGAAATTCTAGGTAAAATCATCTTGGAGGGTGGCTGTAGCATATCCCAAAAAGGCTCTTCCCCAATTTACTTTTCCTTCTGGACCATGTAGGCTGCTTCAGTTGGGTTTCTGATATTAAAAGTAATGTAGCCCTGCCGGATCCAATCTCCTGAGATACGCAGGCTTCTCGCTGGTGCCATCTCAGGCTGAGTTTCACAACTCTTTCCTGTGGCAGCCAGTGGCCTAGCAGAAGCGTTTCATTTAATATGGTAAGAAGGGTCCTTATTGTCGCCTTTAAAAGTTCCACTTCCTCCTGAATTCTCTTGGTGTTGCAGTGAATGGTTCCGCCTCCACCAACACACTCAAACTTGAGGACTGGGTGTCCCTTTGGGGTCCCTCCTGCCCACCCCAGCCAGCCAGCCAGCCAGCCAAGGTCTTTCTCCTATCTCTTCCTTATCCGTCCTTTGGCACCTGCCTTAGTTTACCTAAGTAACTTGCTCCTGTCTGTCTCTGGCCTTCGAAGCCCACCCACTTATCCATCTCTGCATACTGTTGCTACAAGTCATTTTTTCTCACCTTTCTTTAACATTCTCAAGAACATATCCCTCCCTACTCCCTTCAGTAGCTCTGCCTTCCCTCTCTGCCCTGGCCTGGGTAACCAAGTGTCTGGCTTCAAGCCCCTTCAACATGAAATCCTAATCTCCATCAGACACCTCCAAGATGTACAACTCTGAAGCTATGTGCTGCCTGCAGGTTGCAGTGTGGGCTCTACTAACACACTGTCTTTCCCCATCTTCTGGTTAATTTCTTTGCTTTCAAAACTCGGTTTGAATGCCACCTCATACAGGAAGCCCTCCCCTACACTAGCCTCAGGCTGGGCATGTCTCAGTGCTTACACTTACCTGCCTATGCCTCAGGCAGACACCTGCTATACTCCTCTTTCTCTTTAAGGCAAGGATTGTCCTTGTTTCTTTTTTATTTCTTTATATAACACCCAAATTGCATATTTCCTAAAAATGAGGATAGTCTTCTACATAGCAACCAAAGGCAGGAAATTAACCTGGGTACATGCTATTCCCTAACTTGCAGGCTTTTACACTTTGCCAATTTTCTCATTCATGTTCCAGTCCAGGGTCACATGTTGCATTTATTGTCATGCTTTAACCTGTACCAGCTCTGGTGTAATGCTGCATGACTTTGCTATTTTTAAGTAACACAAAACCATTAATTTTGTGCACTAACCCTCAATTTGGGTCTAGCTGATGTGTCTGTATGATTAGATTCAGGTTATTTATTTCTAGCAGAGATGACATGACAATGACATTATGTCCTCAGTGTGTCACTTTAGGGGCCACATATATCTACTGGTGATGTTGACTTTAGTCTGCTGATTAAAGTGAAGTGTGTCAGGTTTTTCTGCTCTATATCTACTATTTTCTCCTCTGAAATGGCCAGTGTCTGATGCGAAGATACTTAGAGGATGAAAATACGTTGTGTCTCACCTTACTTCACCCACCACTTTTAGCATCTGGTTCTGTGTCATCTTTGGGTGAAGGAGGTCCATGGCCTGAGAAGGACTCCCCAATTTTTCACTCAGGGATCCCTCTGTTATGGACTTCCCCCTTGTTATGGACTTCATGATTTCTAAGTTTGGTCCACTTAACAAATTACCCTTCCCCGGGATAGCATCTCTCTTTGTTTATTATATATTTAAGAGCTATGTAGAGGGTATCGGTACTCCAGGAGGGACAGCTCTGAGTCACTCCTAAATACCCAGCACCCACCAACACACACTTGCCTCAAATGGGTGGCTGCTAAATATTTGGTGGAAGACTGAATCTGACTGCCAGTTTCAGCTGGTACCAAAATATGAGGTCTTTAGTGAGGATAGGCCATTGGCAAATGGAGAGGCTTGACATTTTAGATAGTAGCCTGGGAGGCTGTCTCACAGGCTATGAAGATTTAAAAATAGATTGGACAATGTGGGAAGAAACCTACCCCACCCTGGCCTTCCCACTGCCTTATTAGGGAGGTACTGAAGGGCCATCTTGGCCAAAGATCATAATCTGTGATGACTGATCAGCATGCTACATAAGCGTTAGACTGCAGACCACAGAGTACTATAGTCTTCCAAATCACCTACTGCTCTTCACACTTGCCTGAAATTAGCATTGTCCTATTTCCTCCTTCCTTAAACACTTTAAATAATAAAGGCGCAATGTAGCAGACGGTTTCTCTTAAAGGCGGTGGGAGGGAAGGAAGCTCACAATAACTGAGCATCTTCTAGGCCCAGTGCTTTCATTCCATTGTTCTTTTCTAATCCTCAGTACCGGGACCTGGAGAGTGGGATTCCTTAACGGATGAGAAAACTGAAGCCTAGGGAGGAAAGGGGATTGCCGAGAGCCAGGCAGAATTCCTCCACTTTTAGCAATTTGCAGCTGCACCAACCGCCTCTCCCATCATCTAGAGAGGCCTTCTCTTGGTATAGTGCTGGAGATGACGATCCAACCCCTCGAGGGATGGAAGCTCTTGGGCCACACGTACTGCTACTCCCTCCCGTGATTGTCACGATTCAATAGCTGTCCTCGCAGTTTGCGAGAAGCTGTCCCCACGGTATTGGGGAAGTTGTCTGAGCAACAAGGGCCTTGCTTTGGGCATCCGTTTGCTTTAGCAAAGGCGTTCTCAGGTCTCACATCTGGTTGCGCTCTGAGAGCGACCCGAGACCTCGGCCATCCCCGGAGAAGCACTGGGAGTTGCACTGACATCCTGGGCATAGGAAGGAGGGAAGTCAAGGCCCCCGAGAGACAGGGTTACTGAGAAGCAGAGGAACAACTCAGTGATGGAGCACCGGGGAGACAGTGGTGCGAAGTGGGGCGAGGGCAGGAGAAAGTTTTAGAAAGGAAGCGAGAAGCAAGCAAGGAGCTGAAGGCCCGACTGGCACAGACCCGGAGTCCACAGCTCTGCGAATTCCAAAGAGCAGGCTGGATGAGGAGACGAGCGATGGAGGAAACGAAGGGAGGGAAGGAGGAAGCGAGGGAAGACA